ATGTCTATATTTATTAATCTCTTGACTTGGACCGGTTTTAAAGACACTTTCTTATCGTTAAAAATTGTCGCTTTTGCCGATTGGTTGTTACCGATGGAATGGTTTTTATACTCATGAAATGATGGGAGAACTTAGAGCGCTCATCCTGTCCCCGTAGATGGGGGTGACTTGGTCCCGCAGTAGCTTGCCCCGGTTGTCAAAATGACCACGCGCCGCCACTGGGCTGTAGTATAATGAAATGAACACCATAAGTAATTAGTCTCAGAGAGGGACATGTTTGTTGTAACAAAAAAAAGTAGTTAATTCTAATACGCTTATTATGCGAAACAAGGACCTGCCAAACTTTTTCGCTGCCCGGGGCGAGTTTATAATAATGATGCTCCTTATACCTAACTTCAAGAATAATTCGGGGTATAAACAAATTATAGATGTTGTCATACATGAGAATAAATAAACAAGAATATCGGTCGGAGACCGAAGACTTATCTGCGGTTTCGATTCATGGCTCTATAGTGACACAGCGTGTTCCATCACTAATTGATTAATAACTCGCCAATTATACGACATAATTTATCCTAAATTAATAGTTTTCTGGTCCGATATATGATGAATGCACATGCAAAATGTGGAGCAGATTCAACCTCGCCTTCGTCAGATATCGCGTCCATCTAACAGATAAACAAACAGACGAATACCCATCAACATACTTACCGATCTTAAGATCGATAAGTAATTAACGGTCAAGTGAGAGTGAAATGTTTGTACTATCATTATTTAAATAAGGGGTGTGAAATCCTTAATACAGGGGGCAGATACAAACAACTGGGTGAAACCGCGGATAGCACCTTTATTTAACATAGGCTTTCCAGTAGTTGCACACACACAAATTTTGGTTATCGATCTTATGACATGCGTTGTTCGCTTCGCACAAGCTAGCTGTTCGGACAGTGTAATGTCATAGGCATAGCTAATAAATTGGACTCAGGTATAGGTTTGGCAACGCAGAGAGATTGGAATTACTCGCACGTACCGGACTAAACTGTATATCAAAAACTCGTTTAGCGGGCCGCATAATTCTTTCATTTCTGGCCAACGGGCCGCAGGTTGCACTCCCTTATTTAAAATATCAAACTAAGCCACATTCTCAACCATACAACCCTGCCCGGGGTGGCTGCCCCTATACAGAATACTGTTTTATATTTAAATATATTGGTCATATTTTGGCATGCGAGATTCTTTTATCTCACAAAAAATGCAGCAAGAATTTTTGAGACCAGTCAGTCTGGCTAAAGAGCGTGGAAAGTGCATTTATGGCATTTTCATGTGGTGTCGGGGTAGGCTTACCATGAATCTGAAACAAAAAACCGGGACCGTGCGATTTGGCAAACATTCGGTCAATTGCCAGTCTTGGTAATATTGGAACGTCTACCATGCCATTGCGGGTATATACGGTTGTAAATCTCTACTGATCATTGAATTAGAAAAAACTAGTTTGTATTATTCATTTAGTTTAGACCAAAAGTATTTGTCCGCAGATGGAACCTTTCTCAAAAATTGTTGTTTTGATTTTGTCATAAAACTGATAACAAGAGACATCACCATTAAATTTGCAGGTTACGGAGTGGTTTTATATTTTCTTCTGGCATTCTGCACCTGCTTTCGGACCAAAATTTTTAACAATGGAGAAAATCCTTTCAACAGATGCCGATGTTTCGGAAAACAAAATCAACTAATTTGCTGCAAATTCGAAATGCTAATATTTCTGTTAGAAAAAACGTTAAACATCTCTGTCCACTTAATTTCAACCGGCAAAGCAAGCCAAATTGCATTTGAACCATGCTCAGATAAATTTATCTTTATCAGTATTCGTCGAAAAGTGCATCGCTATTCAAAACCTGATCAGCTAACCAAACATATCATTTATCAATTTTGCAGACCAAACACTTCAGTCCAGTTTATTTCACTCTTCAAATTTGTCCATATGTGTGGCCTGGCAGCATTGTAGGCTTCATCTATATACGATAGACATTTCTTGTAAAAATCGCAAACATTCTTTTTAAATACAGTTACGTCAATTTCGACAGAGCGTTCCTAGGATTCCAGAAGTACAAGTGATTGCGACGAAACCAACAGACTTTTTTTTTTCCTGCAAATTTAGCTTCACCTCTGACAGAATATTCGCAACATCTACGGCAGGGGTCGGCAACCTTTTGTCGCCCGCGGGCCAAAATTAAGGGTTGCGAGTCATTGGCGGGCCGCACATATTTTTAGAAAGTTGAAACTGAACGGATGATACTTTTTATATTAAAAATCAAGCAGTGATACATCTCTCGAATAGAATATAGATTTATTTCCTCATTGCATCTCAAAAAATTCCATTTGAATATTTTCATCGCCATTGAACCCTTTGAACTTAGCATCAACTTCTCTGCGTTTTGTTGCCATTCGAGTTTGAAGTAAACCCTTTTCATGCGATTTTTATTTTTTATAAAATAATCGTATTTGCTACTCCGACTTTATGCATTTGTACCCCCACAACTAATCGATCGACTAACGAAAAAGGATGGATCCTCTGCTGCCCACTGACGGCTCGTTGCAAAGCTTATTTAAAAAGCTTGCAATTGGCAATTGAAAAAAAAATTTCAAAAGGGGTGGTCTGAGTCACAAACCGGATAGAAAAGAGGCATTTTTTTTTCTTGGGTGTTGAAACTTCAAACCGTGATAAAAATAGAAATATTCGCTAAATCCTTTACTGTTACTGCTTCTTGGTTGGCAAACAATAGCATAATATTGCTGTAGCAATTTCGTTATCTAACTCAAAATACTTTGGTAGATGGAAGGGATAATATGTCTTCTATTACCACCCAAAAAACACCGAAATTTGCATAAATTTCAAAAACACTCCCTCGTTCCGCCGCAAATAAAATTCCCATGGTAAACGAAAGCGAGATTTACCGTTGCTTATGTTAATCTCGAAGAAGACTTCCTATCAATAAACTAAAACCCGGAAAAACTAGACCAACAGTTTGCGACCGATTGCTAAATAAAACAGTGGAGTACATCAACGTACCCGCCGCAATCTAGCGAGTTTTGTCGTGGGTACGTATACGTGCCCACCGCACGGAAAGGGATTCAGAGGAGAACAGCGGAGCAATGCACCAACTCTCATTTAATTCTGGCTGAACGTGCAAAATCAGCGAATCCGCTTATCAGACAGCGGACATCAGAAATTCTAACTGTGTATATTTACAAGTTAATGCAAATTTACCCTCAAAAAAATTTGAAATTAATTTAGAGGTGCAGTCAAAACTTTGGTCATGAATAGCAGTGTGATAGGCAAATGTCGGCTGGCAACGACACAGAATCATCCGAATTTGTTATCGCAAAATTGGTCAGTCGAGTCGATCCTCAATGTTTTGTGCTTCCTGCTTTGGATATGATCGTTGACATCTGAACGACCGCCATGACTAATAGAAAAACAGATCTGCAATGCGTACAGTGTACCTTTCCTTCTTCAGTTTGCTTCAAATAAGGAAAATCTTTCTTCAACTCATCAGAAAACTTGTACTTTCTTTTTGGCATTTCGACAACCTAACGACATTGCAGTTAACGCCAGAAAACGCATTAAAACATATACCAATTGTGACATAACAATAGAGCGATTTCTCTCTCTGAACTAGCAAAGTGTGTCGCAAAACAGTGGTAAATGGGCTGTCACCGTTAAAAAAAAAAAATTGTGATAATAATGAATATAATTTTTTTACCCATGAAAGCCGTGCTGACAAACCGGGACATTTGATTCAACCGGTCGGGACGCCGGGACAGCTTGTCAAAACCGGGACTGTCCCGGCTAAACCGGGACGTATGGTAAGCCTATGTCGGGGGTTACAGCATATTTGCACCCATGACATTTGTATTTTGCACCGCAGATTTTAGCATTCTCATATAGATTGCACCACGGACGTTTGTACCCACGAACGTTTACACACACGAACATTTCCACCCTGAATCTTTGCACCCACGGACATTTACACCCTCAAATATTTGAATCCATGGACATTTGCACTCGCGTATGACAACACGCAACAAAAATAATGGAACCGGTGTCGGGTAGTCACATTTTTACCTTAGCTATAAGCAAGCAACAAATGTCAAGAAAACTATCCTGTCACGCCTAATTTCGCAGTTATTTTACTTTAATTGAATTACATTTCCACTGTGTGTCGTGTTAGCAGTGTGCATAGGATTAGTTTAAATCGTTGTTGTTGTTGCGCTGTCTGCTATTGGTATTAGTACACCAGCAGGGGTGATCTGCAACCAATTATCCTTCAGCTTATTCATATCAATTCAAATATTATTCAAAATGTGCTATTAGTCCAAAATATTTCGACAATTTTGGCACTTACAAACTGATTCACATGCTCAAAACCATTACTTCCAATAAAATATACAACCTCGTGCCGCTTATAGGTACTAATAGCTAATTTTTAATTATTGCAACTAAACGTTAGTCGTTGAACTAAACTAACGCTCATCGGAAGACATAATGACATTTAAATTACTTCAATTACAACTAATTTTTGGAAACAAAACTGACGAATACCACGGGTATGAGGTATTGTGTACATTTACTTTACAACAATGCTTGGATATCTGTCCGAGCAAATAAAGTGTCCGAGTGGCTGGAAAATTTACAATTGTTACGTCATTGTTGACGTTTTTACTGATTGGTCTTTGTTACAGAAATAAACAAGGAAATCGATGCTTGGGGAAACACCATTACATTTAGTTCCATCAATGACATATAACATGTTATATGTCATTGGTTCCATGTGCGTTTACTACGCACATGTGCCTTTTTTGCACATAGCTCTCTAGCGCTATAATTATTGTTTGTTTGCGAATAGTGGTTTACGCCGAGCCTGCAGCGCAGACAAGTTTTTCTTTTCTGTTTGTTTAGATTTCCTAACCGCACGTTGTCTACAACCAAAATGATTTCTCTACGTTTGAACTGCTTACCATGTTACTTAATTTGTTTCGAAACGTTGGTTCAGACAAACTGACAAAAGGATAGCCTTAGTTCTCTCCCCCGGGATAAATATGTAAATCCTATCCTATCCTAGTTTACCGGTAGTTGATTGTCAGAATATTACTGTTCTCTTGTTTTAAGGCATATTTAAAAATATATATCTATATATAGTCTATCGCTCAGCCTTATAAAGGCACCAGGCAAAATGGCAAAAGATTCAACACAGCAACAAGAGCAAAAATATTATGTTACCGGTACCGTATTTTCACCCAATGCCATGTGCAGGTGTGAGACCCTTTTAAACATGAACTGCCTGATCAAGATTTTATGCTTGCTAATGAAAATCCGAGTGTTGACAAGGGCTACACTAAATAACTTGACGGGTCAGGTTGTGACTCACAGGCCGCCTGTTGCTAACCCATAATCTAATGTAAAAGTAGGTACGTTTTGATCTAAACGTTTTGATATATGTGAATAAGATTTTGCTTTTACATTACCATATTCTGTTATTTATTGGAAATTTAAATAAAAATAAACATTTTCTAGATTCTGGGATAGAGTAGATTTGTAAGCACTTCTTCACTAATATGGCTATATCAGCATATTGAACATTCATATTCTGAAATTGTTAAATGATAATATTGTTTTTCTAGGATAAATTTGACTTATATTTTCGATTTTATTACTGTACTGAATAATATTTGAACATAGACTACTTAACAAAAATGCAATTGTATATACAGATCAGGACATGTCGTTGCAAGTATATTCAGCTGACATCTATTAGCTAATAGTATTAACTTTTTGAATTTTCACCTGTATTGTACTGGTGTAATCCAATGATGGATCCACAAACAAGGAATTTATTTGCTGATATGGGAGGAGCTTCTAATGCTGGAAAAACGGTTGTCACCACAGAAGAAATATTTGCTAATGATGACAAGTTGCAAGACGATGGTTCTAGTCAAATTCCACCAACGCCTACAGGCTCCGATAGCAATGTAGATACAGATTCATCTATAGACAAACAGACTGAGAAAAATGGAAACAAAGATGATTTACATCAAGATATTCGACGGAACTCACATCATGATAAAGATCTTCAAAAAATCTACATACAGCAAAGTGAAATTAATGAAAAAACAGCAGAAATCAAGAGCAATATGATTCCTAATGTGCGCAGAAGTAATCGCTCGAACAAAGGTGTTCAACGGGAGATGTTTGATCCTTCTCACATCCCATCCCCAAAATACAGTAAATACAAGCCAGATATGACACCTCAACAGGCAAGTCCGATCAAGAAACAAAAAGTAATCCCATCTTCCGATTCGGATGAGAATCATACTAAAGAAAAGCAACTTCAAAAAGAAACTAAGAAAGTTCATCATGAGAAGCAACAAAAAGTAGAGGAAGAAGTTGATGATCAAATTAAAGAAGAAGAAGAAAAATCAGATTCAGATAGTGATGATGAATACAACGATCCAAATCGACTTTGGTGTATATGTAAAAAACCACATAATGGAAGATTCATGATATCTTGTGATGTCTGTGAAGAATGGTTTCATGGTGACTGTGTTGGTGTTACTGTTCAAAGAGGTAAACAGATGGAAAAGAAAGGAGAGGAGTATGTATGTCCATCTTGTCTAAAAAGCAAAGGAAAGCAACCAAAACACAAACATAATTCAGACAAAGAATCACTAAGACATCCTATGAAAACTGGTGTTAAATTGAAAGGCTATGCTCATGATAAAAATAACGATCAAACTATATTAAAAGATAAGCATTCTGCTAAAAAAAGAAAACCGAAAGATTTTAACACACAACTTAGTGATCGCAAATCGACAGCAGATCCATCTAGTGCAAAACAAAGAAAATGTATTGTTGCCAGTTGTCCGAATAAAGCACCATCTGATTCCGTGTATTGCAGCAACGTTTGTATTCTACGACACGCTAAAGAATCTTTAGGTGGGTTAGGAAAATCCAAATCACAACCTGCGGTCTCGAAGAAATCGCCTGCTGAAGCGAGACAAGAAACAAAGGAAGAAAGAGTTGTGAGAAAAATTAAGGAAGCTGCATCTAGAGGAAAAATCGCAGTTATGTGTCGAAAAACTGGTAAAATATTCGCGAATGCGTCTGCGCCGCTCAAGCCTGAATTAGAAACATTTTTGAAGAAAAATCCAACATTCAAGCCTTTAAAACTTCCTAAAAACTTTAAATTACAAATGCAGGAAAGAGAAGAAAAATCGAAAGCTCATCATGCTTCTCAACCCAAGAAAAATAATGATCAAAAACATTTGGGTGGTTATAGTCATGATCCAGATTATAAACCTATGGAAGTGAAACCGTCTAATCCTTACAAAGCTTTGACACCATCTATCAAACATTCGAATGATATACATACAGCTAAAAAGCACAAAATAGATAGACAAAATTCAAACGACGCAAAAAAATCCAAACACAAAAAGCATGATAACGAAAGAAGACATTCAACAGATAAGCATGCTAACCCACAAAAAATTACACCTTCAAAAAGAGATAGCCGATCACTTTCTGATGATAGGAATGATTTTAAGAAAGATTCTGCTCCTCACAATGAGAAAGAGGTGCGAAGAAGTGTTAAGAAAACGCTACAAGGGATTTTGCAAGCTCGTTCAAACAGTTCTGATGACCTGAAAATGCATCCGGATTCTATTACTAGATTGGTAAATAAAATTGAAGAATCATTATACAAATTATTTGGAAGTACATCATTTAAGTATAAAAGTAGATATCGAAGTATTTCTTTTAATTTGAAAGATGAGAAAAATCATGGTTTGTGGAGAAAGTGGAGAAAGGTGATTTTGGGGGAAGTTACATCATCAAGCTTAGTAAAAATGACAGCTGAAGAAATGGCGTCAAAAGAACTATCTCAGTGGAGAAAACACGAACTTACTCAAGAGTTGGAAATGATTCATGAAATAGAATCAGCAGAAAAAAATGTACGACCAGTTTCAAAAATAACCCATAAGGGTGAAATCGCAATTGATGAAGATTATTCAGACTTAACTGAAAGCCATCTTGAGACCTCTCATGAAAAAGTTACACCCACTATTGCACCGCAGAGAATTCGTAGAATCTCAGCTAATCAGCCAGATTCAGTCACAGACCTGAGTCCTGTTACCATGGACACAACTTCTGAACACAACAATCATTTGTTTGATATGAATTGCATGATATGTACAGGACAAGTGAAAGAAGAAGAAGCGAATCTAGACTCCGCAAATAAAAGAGTCAAGCGTTCGACTTCTATTATATTGAGTAATGAAGCGCAGTCTACACTCGATGTGGAACATTCCGACGAAGAAATATTGAAAAAGATTTCTGCTTTCAGTAGAAAACAAGATAAACCAGTTGTAATATCTTCAAAGTCTGAAGAAGAACCTTCACAAGATGAAGAAATGTATCCTATTAGTCCTAAAGAAGAACCTTCACAAGTATGAAAACCTGGAGGAAAAGAAAGCACCTTCATCTATTACAGCCATGAAACTTAGTCGTGATCATTTCTTATGGACAGGTGTGATTAGCATGCCCGAGTTGTCAAGTTTTCGTACAAATGCTTACACTGTTTCAGGAGGTGCTAGAGAGTTGGTTCATTCAATACCGAATAAACTTGTCCTTGACGGGAGAATTCATCCTAAGGTCGTCTGGGAATACCTTGCTAAAGTAAAAACTTTTCCCAATAAAGAAGTCTGTGTTGTGCAGTTCAGAGCATCTTCTGAAGAAGATCGTGTTGGCTATGTTTCAATGTTATCATACTTCAGCAGTAGAAAAAGATTTGGAGTAGTGAGCAATCAAAATACACAAGTAATAAAAGACATATATCTTGTGCCTCTTCTAGAAACAGAAGATGTACCCAAGGAATTATTACCATTACGTGGTCCGGGATTACCCACCAATCACCCTTCTATGTTGCTTGGCGTAATTGTCCGTTGCATTCCTGAACCCAAAAAATTATCTCCATTGTCTGAAACGTCACCGATCAAATTTGAAGAAAAACATCACAAGGCGAAAATTCTAAATGATGATTTACCAGCTCGAAAATCATTGTTGGATCGCAATCGGTCGTTAACTTCTGTAATGCCACACTTTACACAAAAAATTGTTGATACTGAAAATATCGGCTCAAAAAGTGATGAAGAGGAAGAATACAATCCAGAAACTGCGGATTTTGAAAATATTTCAGATGACGATCCTCATAAACCAATTTCACCCACTGCTGCTGAAGATGAGGAAGCATATGATCCAGAGAAAGTTGTTTTCGATGATGATCTGAAAGAAGATGAGGATGATGCTCCTTATGATCCTGAGGATGAGGCAGAACGCCTGGAAAGTACTGAGCTTAAAGCATTGCAGGTGAGTCCGCATACAAAACTTCTAAATTATATGGGTCCGCTGTTTCCAGAAATTAAATTTCGGCATCCTTAAACGCGCACTCCCTAAACCGGCTAATGATTATTAGCTAATCAAGATTGTTTATTATGGTGTTATAGTTCTTTTTTATATATATTCAAAACAACAAAAGTGATTTTATAGAATGAAATTTAAAAGTGGGGCTAATGATCCAAAATGAAGAATTAGGTGCGGTCCGAATCAAATACTCGAAAAGTCTGGATTCGGATCGCTGTATGCCAGTTGAGTAGCTGTAGTGTAGGGAATTATCATAATATAAAATGTGTAATAGGACCCATAGCATAATAGCTCGCATTTAAAAAACATCCCATGAAGGGTCCTACCACTTGCTTTGGAACAAATGGTTATTGGTTACACATACAAAAATAACAATGTTTCTTTGATTTCTGTTTTGCCAGTATTTATGATGTTCTTACACGTTACAAATCGAATCTAAATTTTCGAAGCAGGAATTTGATATTGGCAAGCGTATATGGTCCATTTCGTGCTATGTTTTATATGGTATATTTTTATATCATGCACAATTCTCTTAAAGCTATAATAAGTTTCAATAGAGTTGCAGATCATGTTTATATTTCGATATGATTTCCTTTCATGAAATCATATTTACAGTGATTTTTTTCCACAGTTTCCATCTACAGTTTCAATGCAACATGGCATTGCATTTTTTTTATTTTTGCCTGTTTTTAAGCTTTGATCACTAGCACTTTGACGTACAATGAATAAATATGCTTATGGAATTTGAATAATACAAAACAAATACATTTATTCATCATTATTATTATATTGCAGGAGAAACAAGCTTTCCTGGAAAAAATGAAGCATGAACTTGAAATGAAGAAGGCAGAGCTTGCAAAGGAAGAAATGTCATTACAGAAACACACTCCACCTCCCCCGCCTCCCGCAACCAAAACAGTTACTCGAGTGGATCCCAGAGTTGCTGCCAGAATGAAAAAACTTAAAACATCTAACAACAATGGTGATTCAACCCCGCCCCCTCCCCCACCCTCCTCAAATGAAACACCTTTGCAAAAAATATTTTCTGTTTTGAATTTTGACAAAACAAAAGCCACATGATTCGGTGCTATTCTTAGTTTATCTTCATTTGTCTGTTTTTCATTTCAAAGTTGTCAGCGATTGATATCGGCAGCATGCATGCATGATTAGGTCAATGTCACTACAAAATATACACATGCTAAATAACATGTTGAAAGGAGCTGTCCAAGGTGGTCTGCATCTGGTGCCTCAAATTGTTTTTTCGATTTTAAGAATTCGAATATCAGAAAATACTGCAGTGATATCATTTCAACTGAGTCTCCCAGGAAGTGAGGTACAATATATGCCCAGATTTATGTAATGAGTTTTATGCTACGTAAGGGCTGTTGAACCTATTTAATATTTACAATTTTAATAAATCGTATTATATAATTATAAATTTGCTGACTGGGAAATAATTCTTGAGATTCATTCCATTTTGATGTAAAAACAAGGACTTTTCAATTTTTTGCACGAGCTGCTTTTGTTGTGTCAAAATTATCCCTATTAGCGAACTCATACACTTTTACAGTGTTATAAAAAATCCATCGATGCGGTTCACAGAATTACGAGGTGTGGCTAAAAAGAAACGAGACTGACGTCACAGATTGCGCAACACGATTAACCATTGGTAATCAACACTTTTACAGTGTGGTGTAATATGTGTTCTTTGTTCAACAGCTTTTTTGACACAATATCGCAATTATTTTTGCTCTTTAGGAGCCATAGGTGAATGTGATTAATTGCTTGTTGAAAAAAAAATTGCCGTGCGAGATCTGATTGAGTTTTTTGGTGATAGGGGGTTCAATTGCAGAATGACGATTGAGCAATGAATTAACATTAAATTTTGTGTCAAACTTGGAAAAACGGCGACTGCGACTTTGAAGAAATTGTGTGATGTTTATGGAGATTCTTCCATGTCCAGAACAAGAGTTTTTGAATGGCACAAGCGATTTGTGGGATGCAGGGAGGATGTGGAGGATGATTCGAGGTCAGGAAGGCCTTGCACTTCCACAACTGATACCAACATCGAAAAGGTATCAGTTGTGAGTTCAGTTGTGAAAGGCAGTTGATTCGCAGCGACCGTCGCTCAACAATTCGCGTCATTGCGAAGTTGGAAAAGACAAAAAAAAACGGTTCGCACCAGTTTGGTTGACACTTTTGGCTTGTGAAAGGTGAGTGCCAAAATGGTGCCAAGGCTGTTGACTGAGGAGCAGAAAGCTCAACGATTAAATGTTGCCCAGTTGACATGCATTTTTCCAAGTTTGACACAAAATTTAATGTTAACTCTTTGCCCAATCGTCATTCTGCAATTGAACCCCCTATCGCCAAAAAACTCAATCAGATCTCGCACGGCAATTTTTTTTTCAACAAGCAATTAATCACATTCACCTACGACTCCTAAAGAGCAAAAATAATTGCGATATTGTGTCAAAAAAGCTGTTGAACAAAGAACACATATTACACCACACTGTAAAAGTGTTGATTACCAATGGTTAATCGTGTTGCGCAATCTGTGACGTCAGTCTCGTTTCTTTTTAGCCACACCTCGTATAACCTAATACGATATGTAACACATTAAAAATTGGCATAACTCAGGTTTTCTCTCAACGATTTCGCTGTTGCTTCTTCAGTACCAGTCAGTGTCCTGTCATTCAATCCAATCATGCTGTCGTTAAGATTATTTAGTAATACATTTCATGCTGAGTATATTAAAGAGAGAGTTTGAATTTCTCTTGACGGCCAACTGAGAGTAAATACATTCACATCCATTGCTTTGCCATAACTGATGGAGATCATTATCCTTGGGGAACAAGGATTTTTTTAACATCGGTATCAAGTACATAATATTTTCTTTTTTTAAATTTTATTAGAATTGGATATTTCATTCAACGTTTAAAGTAAAGAATATTATAGTGGTGTATGTAAAATCCATATGAATTAAGTTAAGTTCACGTTTTTGCTTGATTGTGTGGTGCTGTTCACCTTCTACACAATTAGATAAGGGTAAAAATTGTTGTTTTCATATTGCAAGCTATTTTTGTCCCAAAAACCTTGTTTTCGATCAGCTTGCAGAGATTTTTTTGAGACGCTTAGCCTATTTTTCATTATCATAAACTGCCTTAATATTTGTTATTGTTCACAAATAAAGTCTTAAGAAACCACTCTTTCAACTATATTAGTTCAGTCATGTTGGGTTATCATCACTCTTTACTGTGGCTATGTTTGTATTTCATCATTTTCACAAGCCTGGAGCTAACAGCATCTATATTGATGCAACTGCACCTCATGGACAGTGCATTTCTAGCTATTGAATCTGTCTTTGCATTTTTCATGTGTTAATAAGTGGGAGGATAAATGAATTGATTTAAATTCTGGGTCTGAGTTTCTATCTTTTACACTGTATTTGCTGCTTTTGTAATATTACAAAGCAAGAATTAAAACAATATTTCTAACATGGGCGAACTATGGCCCGCTGATGCTGTCACAACCAACCTAAAACAAAATTTGATGCTTTAGCTAGAAATGCTCAAAGAATTTGTTGAGATTAAATTGAGTTTTGGCACGAGGCTTATTGTTTTCCACTCTTGCAACACTTCATATTAATAATATGTAACTTTATGTGCCCACCTACATCGCCCCGCCAATCCATGTGGGCAAAATTTTTAGCACCTGGTCCGAAAACCTTGCCCACCTCTGTGCTAGATCATTCAAGCGATTGACAAGACTATCTCATTGTTACTTGCAACATATATTTCAGAGGATTCATTTTCTGCAAACATGCTATTTGCTAGCAATACTGGTAAAATACATTGGGAATTAGACTTGCTAAAATGAATGCTCATTATTTAATGTAAATGGGATTGTAAGGGCAACTAGAAAAACCTTTATCATGACTAAACTAAGTTTCCCTGTCGCACTAAACACTGCATTTGTGTCCTTGTTGCATGCATGCTGCCGATACGAAAATAAACCCAGGATTTTCTATGAATATATTTGTACATATGACTATATAAGGATATCACATGAACATGAGACTATAATGGTCAAATGTTGAAAAAGGTTTGCTTCAAAATATGTTTGCAATAAAATTATTGAAACAAAATTTGGTTGGACTTGTGCGTACACAGATGGACAGCAATTCATATTGTTAGTGGTTATACATTGCTTCGGTGGCCGAATGACTTGGTTAGAAAAGTCATTTTCAAAATCACCAAGCAATTCAGCATTGTAAGATTACCAGAATATTAAGTGATTTGGATTTTGAAACCGGTTTGAACTTGCTTTAAAAAATGAGTTGATTATATTGCAGTTTGTTTATGGTTTAGTTGTAATTAGAGACTTATTTTAGTGAGAACCTACAATATTACTATGAAAAGACGAGACAAAGATGTAATACAATACAAGAGCACTCTGAATAATAAACATACATGATAAAAAAAACACTGGCGAAAAACAAGAAAATTAGAATGAAACTGAATTACGTCTGGAGGATGTTACATACTTGACATTAAGTTATGCTTGCCAGGAAGACAATATATTTGCCTGGGGAGATTGATGAATGTTACAAAGGCAGTATAGTAGATTGGCAAGGATATAGCGATCAGGGCTATAATAGGGCCTGCAAGTCACATATGTTATTAAGCTTAATAAATTGCTCTCTGAGCGTTGGGGAAATCCTAATCGATTTGGTGTAAACAAAGTGAATACTATCATGCTGAAACAAAAAACCAACATTTGATGTAATTTTCGGACGGTTTAGTTCACAACCAATTATTGTATAAAACAAAATATTATAAGTTGAAAGTAATATGACTTGTATAAAATCTCAGAGGTCTAATAGAGCATTTCTGCATGTTAGGCACTTGCCAAGTCAAACGAGACAAGGTGTTAAAATATCTTTCCGACGTCAATTTCACTTCTTCTTGGTTTTGTTTTGGCCATGACCAAATTGGTCCTTTGATTGTTGTTGTTGAAGAGTCACCTGCTCTTTTCGTTTTCGAAATGCTTGGATTTCATCATCAAGGGTTTTGCGACGATCTTCCAATTTCTTCTTTTCCTCCATATGCATTCTCTTTAGCTTGTCAAACTTGTCATGAGCTCCTTCTCAGAATCTTTCAGTTCTGATTCTTTTTCTTTCACCCGTTGCACAAACATTTGCCGCATTTCATCCTCTTTTCTTTGCAACTCATTAAATGCTCATTGCGTTTGGATTCATAAACTTCTTGAAGACTGAAGCTTTTGCCGCCTTCGACACCGTCTTTGAATCCCATTTCAGCCAATTTTGAGCGTCTATACAACTCGTAATGCTTCGTGTGAGTTTTTCACGCAAATCCTCCATATTGACACGAATCAGCATTTCACGACTTTGACAAAATCACAATGGTTCATTTTCCACTTGAACTGTTCCCCACGGATATTGCCTTGCTTTCACCATTTTATTACCCAGTTTAATCTCATCTGTGCTTCCAATCACAGCAAAAGGAAGATGGCTATTCATGGAACCGTTCAACTCAGCAACAGTTTCATCATCAGTAGGAAATTGATATATTTGTACTCCGTTGGTGACGAGTTCACTCATAATCTTAATCTTGAATTTGTGAAGTTCACTTTTTGACACTGTGTCTGCCTTTGCTATGACAGGTATGATATTCACTTTATTATCCAGATTCTTCATTGTTAGCAGATCTAAAGATTTTAAGCCATGACCTGTAGGAGAAATGAAGTAAAGACAGGCGTGGATACGCGTATCATGATAATTATGAAGAGAACGAATTATTTTCAATTCTTCCTGCAAATAATTTTCAAATTGTTGATCGATGTATTCCACAATAGGTTTGAAGCTATTTTCTTTGTTAACTTGGTCGCCAAATCCAACAGTGTCAACAATTGTTAACTTCAAACGGACATTGCTTTCCTGAAGCTCATAAGTGTTGGCCTTAAGTTTGACGCTGGGCATGTTATGATGCTGTGGCTCGTATTCAAAGCTGGTGTTGAATAATGTATTCATCAATGTTGACTTTCCGATGCCTGTTTCGCCAACGCACAAAATATTGAAGCAAAAACCTTGGTTAGTTGCTTTATTGACAAGTTGATCTGGAAGACTGTCAAATCCAACATGACCAGCCAAATGCAAGTTTCTAAATTCATCGCTCAAGTAATCTAAGTGATCACCAGACCCACCATTCTCCAATTCATCTGATGGCATCTTGTTGAGGAATGTATCACTACAGTACTATGTTACACTAAAATAAGAATTGCGTATTTGGTTACCACGTGCCTTATTTATAAAAATCAGGAGTCTCATTTAGTAAATATATTCATTTGGTTTTTGTGACAAATATTTAGTATGAGACTGATACTGGTATCGTACATGGTGGGATTCCTATTAAACATCAGAAAACGGATATTGTAACTTCAACACGCTAGTGGGCTAGTAATATCCCGGGGTATGTATCATTTACGACTAAATTGTTACACAATTCAGAACTTCTTACACCAGTCTGCTAATACACAAGTTATCGTATACGGTACTGGTACCTAACCTATCATGTTATCTGGCTATTGCAGCCCAATTTCAATTGAAATTGCCCTATAACTAGGTATGTTAACATCGGCTGTAATCTGATATTACGGTAAATGACTGACAATGGTAGACTACCGGTACAATAGCATCTGCATCTGGCAGTGCCCCTGAAAAAGAGTTGAAAACCTGCCAAACTATGGAACTAAGCTATAACCCGATAATGTTTTACTGTTACATGACAATCCATTTGCATTCTGATCCCTCATTAGCAACAATTAATTTGCAAAGACATAACTAACCTTCCAAGTTTGCAAAAAAAAGTAGAAATACTGAAATAACTGAATGAAAGCCGAGAGACAGCCAAAAAGAGATTATTTTTAGTTAACTGTCATCATACAGATTTTTAATAAAATGACTTTGGCCTCAATGCGCAATGCGTATAAAAATACGCCGATATTTCTACACCTGTCACTACGAAATGTAGTAGTTCATGGAGTGTAATATAACAAATAGCAGCTCATCCCAGCCTAAACTGTAAACTTTCACTGTCGTAGCAGCAACTGGTGGGCGTGGCGCGCAACGAAAAGTATTTCTTGTAAGCAGCAGAGCATTTAAGACAGCGTTCTATCGGAGTTTAGCAGCGTTGCGTTTGAAGAAACGGACAAGAAATTAAAACACAAACTGAAATATCGAAATGAAAAAATTGACATGAAATCTGCATGAAATAACAGAAAGCTAGATGATAAAGAACCGCTGGTATTATTTTCGTCTCTCCTATAGATTTGCGCTCTCATACACGACGTGAACTCAACGGAAGTGCTAATCAATTTAACCGCCAGAATGCCTCAAACCTTTTCACATACCTAAGAAATAACAATGAATAAATATTATTGCATTTGAATATAAACGTAGCGTAAAAAGTTTGCAACGGGGCAATTAGCACTTACTTGAAAAAACGCTAATTGATGTATTTAGGCAAACAATGCTAAGGCAAACATCAATAAATTGTCTACCCATGTTTGCTAATGTGTTTCATGGTATTATCGCAACGTTGAAATTTTCGGGTTGAAATCGGCATTTAAAAACAGTTACGTTGCACGGTAGATTAGCACAACTTTGAAATAACGCTCGGTATTAATAGTCACATGATGTAGAACGCGAATCCAAACGAATATCTCGTGACAATATATAATTAACTTTGAAACATTATTTTGCCCGCGTGATGTAGTGTTTTTGATAAAGTTTCTCAATAGGGTTCAGTTGGATATATAAACAGTTCTTAATAGAGTTTGTGATTAAATGTGACTATGAACACGTACATACGTTCTGTGAACTTTAAAACAGGGTCGTCCAACCCGTGGACATCGTTCTCAGTTTCGTCGGCTGTAGTACTATAAAAAGTAGCGATACAGACATGTCAATTTCAGTGTGTTGAATTCAACCTTCCCTTTCTAAATAGCTGGAATGACAATTCTGATACAAATATTTGATACAGGGTGAGGTATGTTTCGTGAGTTTGGTGTGTTTGTCAAAGTAATTTCACACTTTTCGTGTCGGTTTTGATCGCAAATTCGAACGTAAATCAGAACTGGGGTTGGTATTTAACTTTGGTAAGAACGTTTGAGGCCCGCGTTGACTTTCATCCTGTGAAAATGGCTCGCGAGTCGCGACATTAAAAAGTTGAGCAGGTCCGCTTAAAATGAACAGGTACTGTCAGGACGGCATTCGACTGTGAGTTTGAATTGGTTATAAGTTATAACCACGATAAATTAGTATATGGTTACATGTTACAAAACATATTTTGCAATTGTTTTGCTTAGAGCAGATCAAGGACGTTCGCCACTGCTATAGTTGTCTCCAGTTGCGTAGCATCCACCCCCGCAACCCCCGCGGTAGCGACATGTTATGCTTTTTGACGGAATAAAAAAAACATTTGTTTTAGCTTATGTCCGAGAGTTTTTAGGGTCATTTCCACGAAATATTTTTGCTGGGGGGCACGAGAGTCTTGCTACGCCACTGGTTGTCTTCATATCCCGAAAGATGTTGATGAAAGGCGATGTCAATCGTTCGAGGTCCGAATCCAAAATCGGTCCGAATGCAACCGATCCCGAAAGATTGACAATTTTCAAACCTGCTTTTAGGCTATACTTCCTAAGCTACATTTCCGGTAACGAGAATTAGTTTTTCAAATAAAATACGCCGTACGAGTATTGCTGCGCTTTTAAACCTAATTTTGGCGTACCAGAAAGATTTTAAAAATTAGGCTTGCTGTATTTAAATTTCTGTGAGGATTTGCACGTATACATACCGGAAGTTACCAATAGCGGGCTGCGAGGACGTATGATGAATCGAAAGCTATTCTCAAATTAATCCATTACTTCATTGATTCCGTCGATTTATGATATATATATATGTTTTTAAATAGTGTAGTATTTATGCACCATAAAATATCCCCCTTTTATCTGCCTTTTTTCGGCGTCATATACCCGCTCTCAGTAATGGCATCGAAAAGAAATATCTGAACATCGTTATTTTCTTATATCAGAGAGATTGAACTATATTTCGGCAACGAAAACACATTCATCGTATATATAACAATAAAAATATAGCAGCAAGCATAATTTTTGGTATCGACAGTAAGAAGCGATGTGACCATCTAAAATCTAAGCCAACTTCCACAATCTCGATATGCCAGAGTAATTCTTTTTTGACCAGTTTAACATGGTTTAATTTTGATGATTGGCTCTATATATTTATATATAATGCGTCGACTGTGCTGATATATTTAGCTCGCATATTTGAGCCAAATCTTTGAACAAAAAGAACTAGTCAACAACGCTTTACAGATGCCTCAATACTATTAAGTGACCTATGATTTATCAAATCCCATGCCAATCTAATGTTTTCCCCCATTTGTCTTGTTTAGAGAAATCCTCCCTGATCTTCATCGATTAAAATATTTATTACATTTTGTATCCTATTTGGGAAGTCAATAATTTAGTATATACTATATATGATCCACATTAAGCAAGGTGATGGGTGCATAGCTTTCATGTAATTTCTTTCTGATGGGTAAACATACTTTTATTTCCCCACTCTTTTAATCATACATTTTGATCTTAGTCTATTTCATGTGTTTCTTGCACGTTTTCTATTTGCTCAGTATGGAAGGGAATATTATATTTAGTGCTGCGTTATCCATTATACTGAGAATCACATCTTTTATCCGCTTGGTAATTACCAAACGATCATGAAGGGCCATTATCTGATCTACTTATTATGCCTCAAGAAGAGAAAGTCAATTGAATGCAATGAACAATATGTCATTTTTTGAACAATTTTGGACTACAGATGACATGATCAATGAAGAGCAATGGCACGATGTTAAGAGCTGGTTTTCAACCGAAATTTTTGCCCACTCACTTTTATCCAAACAACAAGGTGAATAATTGACTGGTTGTTGGCACAAGTTACAATGATTGAGGTTATTGTCATTTGCCTTGTTTTGGGGTAGAGCAAAATAATTCTTTTTGATAAATTAGATGACAGGTTCCATTACATTTGAACCCACGTACATTTGAACCCATGACAATTGCACCTGTATGCTATTGCACCTATGGAATTTTTTTTGTTTCACGGAAAGGTAAACCCATACTAACCCTAACCCATGGGTTTTAGCACCCGCATATAGATTGAACCCGTGGATATACGCATGGGTTCAAATGTACGGTCACCTAGATGACACATCCCTATCTCATTCGACTTATCCACAAGCACTATTTTGGATACACATTCGGCACATATTAGATGTTTGCTTGTTTCCTCTTCTACCATATCTATATATATCATGTTCCAAAGATGATACATTGTCATATTTTTGTTTGAAAACGTGGCTGCCATTTGCAACATAGTGAATGCGGTTTTGTTGTCCATATCCGAATAACAAACATTGGTTTTCTAGTTTTTTTTGTCTGGTTATCGGACACAAAGTGCTCCTATAGATCGTTTAGTTATTATGTTGTTGTTGTAATATTTACCTCATCTTGTTGTTGTGAATAAAATCTCCTTTTTTATTATCTAATAGACCAATCGCTTTGAGATTTTGGTTGAATATTGTATTTGTCGATAGAAGGCTATTACTTTTATTTATATCAAAAATCTTATTGGGCTCTATGGGATTCGTTTTATGTGTGCGAAGAAGTCATTAAAAATAAATGCGCACCTCGTTCGCATTTGGTGGTCAGGCGGATTCGTGAAGAATTCCGCTAACGCTAATCTACTGTGCTTGCATACTCGTTATTTTTCGCCTTCGTGTCCTTATATTTGAACACTGCTTTCTCGTTGCCGGGAGTTTTATTATTGATAGGTAAATGGAGTAGTATCTGCTTTGTTGTTTCGGAATATTATTTGATATATATGAGGCTTCCTGTTTCTTTTCTACGTGTGCAGTTGGTGAAACATTGAACACTTTCATCACCTGTTCAGTTCGATTTTGTCTGTATTCGTGGCTTTTAATGAGCCGTCAACTTTGTTAACAACGTTATCCGTTTCTCCTTGGATCGGGTGTCTTTTGGGTATGCAGGTCGCCTCGACTTACCTCAACGTAAACCTGTTCTAATATTTATTGTTTGTTTGATTTATATTACTGTTATTTATCTATTACTGTTAGACTTGTCATGGGTGTCGCTGCTCGATCACCAGTCTTGGTGTCTCGCGCCTCCCTTCACCCTAAAGTACCATATTTA